GACAAGGAAACAATGGCTAGTTTGTATAGGATTAATGCCCAGGGCGGTCTAAGCTTACTTTCCTATGGATTGAGATCCATGCTGGACTCATTAAACAAAACACCGGTCTTCTGCATGATCTCAGATATCATACGTCCACTGTATACTTTTAATAAAAAGTATAAAGTGAAACTACCCTTCCAGAGAAGAGTGGCCGAATGTACAGATTATCTGTGATGTACAGGTTATCTGTGTCAGTAGCCTTATATGGTATACCGATAGATCAAAAATGGTCCGCGTTTTAAACTTTAGAATTAATGGGGAAAGCTCCAAAGTCCAACTTGGTATTGATTTGGATGGATTTACCTCTATCTTCCAGGCAGAAATTTTTGCCATACTTCAGTGTCCGGAAATCGACCCGAAAAAACACCACGTCAACCATATAATCTATATAAACTCTAATAGTCAAGCTGCGCTGAGATCAAAATTAGTGAACTCGAAGCTACTTGGAGACTGCGTCAACCATCTAAACACCCTGCGATGTAACAATAGGGGGATTAAAAGATGGGGTCCGGGTCACGCGAATATTGTAGGCAATGAACTTGCCGACAACTTCACACGGGAGGGTTCAAAGAGTACACAATTTGGACCATAGCCATTTTGTGGAATATCAAAAAGCCTAGCGTAATCAGGCTAGGCTTTTTGATATTATTCTTAAGTGATTTACTGTGATAAAGAGTTTCAAGGGTCAATCGAATCTTGAAACTCTTTATCACAATAGATCACTTAAGATCTGGTCTGGTTCACCAGGCTTGAAGTATTCTAAAACCTTAATCTTGGTTTTTGATCTTAAATTCGTTTCAGAAGCCCTGGGATCAGGTTAAAATAAACTGTGCATTCTGGCAAGAGCCCTGACTGGACACTGTTGTCTTAAAAAGCACATGTCCAATAAGAAACTCATGGATGTGCCGATTTTGTTCCTAAATTGAAGAACAGATCCTAACTGATTGCGTACTCTTAATGCGCAAACGCAACACTTATCTGGGAAACTATGTACTTCGCCCAGAAGAAGTGAAATTGCTCACAGCTAAGCAACTCCTTCTATTCATTGAAAATATAGGGCTTAGCAATGAGCTATAGCCATAGCAGCGATCACAATAGGCTTTAGTTCTGCTGGTTTCTATAAGGTGAGTGGAGAAAAACGGAGATTCTTTATACCGGTACAGAGGCAATTTATTTTAGTCGTCAGGTGTGGCAAGGCATCTGAATATAGGCCTTTCAAATAGATTGCCTCTCTAAAAAGAATTGGCCAAATCGCCTCCTGGCAGGCGATTTGCCCAATGCTTTTTATTGCTAGTTCATATTAGAAAGTACTGCCCGTCTTCTGGTTTGCTTCCCATTGCCCCCTCTTCAATTATTGGGAGCCTGTTTTCATTAGTGGAACATTAATAGGCTGTATTTTTATGTAAAAGAAGACATTAAAAGTATATCGAAAAGCATTGTATTGTGCCAATATCTACAATTACAGTAACTAAAAAGACAAGTACTAAATGTTTGTTTTTGGCTCAAAACATAAGCCAGCGCATAATGTTGTAAGCGCATATTAATAATTAAAATTTAAAATCATAACATCATGGAAGTATTCCCTAACTTTCTTGTTGGAAAATAGTTTTATGAAAAAATTAAAGTAAAATTTATTTTATTCCTTAGAACAGCAAAACTTGTCTCCAGCTACAAGTTTTGCGTCTCTAAATTTGTAATGAAAATACATGGATTATAAAAGTTTATAAAACGATGTATTAATAAAACTTATTTTTTTATTTAAAAAATGTTTACCCCAGTCATTTAATTACAGCCTTTCAAAAGTTTACTGCTGAACATAAACCTTCCCCTTACATTGCCTAATGGGGGGTGCATAGGCCATCGTCATAGATTGCCTCATAAAGGGGATATTTGCCATACTTGCCATGCTTGCCAAGCGGGTTGGCAACCAGAGTTTATTTTATATTTTTAGTCGTTGTTAGGATGACACTGCTGCCCATCTCCTTGGTTTGTTTCCCTCTGTCGCCTCTTATAACAGCCACGAGATATATATGGTAGTGGATATTCTTACATCGCCACTACACCGTAATTTACTGTTAGTCTTTAAATCAAAAAAGTTTGTTTCGCGAGCCATACGAATCGAGTGGGCAGAACACTTTTAGTGCTATGAATGCATCCCCCTGGCTGTTTGCTTTAATATAAATAAAGTAAAATTCCAAGTGTCTGTGTACAAGGCTTTAAAACAAGTTTATTTTTAAGCATTCTGTATATTAATCACACGCGGGATTCTCGTATCACGCATCATTTCCCGCGCTAGAGATAAGAACGTAGGCGGCACTCGACTCTCGTAAATCCTGACTGTTTTACCTACGGCCTCGCGCTTAACACGTGCCTCGGATCAATAATTAATTTATGATTCCCTTTAAAGGTAACGTTCCTTTTAAAACAATTGAATTATTTCTTGTTCAAATAACTGACATACCCCCATACGTTTTACCTGATATTATTTATTAATTATTTAGGTGTTCGAGCCTAGAGGCTTGATCCACCTTGAGACTACGCATGTACATTCTGACGTTATTACAGCGTGAAATTAGCTCTTTTTGATAGTAGCGCCCTCTGTCGCAAGTGTGAAGTGTATCAACTTCACTCTAATGGAGGGGACTCATTCAGCGCGGGCGGTGTATTGGTCAGTACGCTTTTGCATTCTGACAAGTCAACACGTATACAAAAGCTGATATTTTTCTCTAGGTAAGTAATATTTTCAACAATCAGTTGACTACAACTATATATAGTCAACTATAATAATACAACATTTTGTCGTAAAAAAAGTCGTAGTGCGCCCTTGAGCCACGAGATGCAGTGCGCCCTTGTGCCACGTGCGTGGGTTGACGACTAACCTCAAATCAAATACCGTGCGTCGTAGTACCACGGTACGACGTCGTATCACTGATACGTTAGACAAACGAAACATCAATTCGATTAATGTCATACGACCGTAATACGACACCCGATACGTCGTATCATCTTCGATACGACAAACCCGAAACGTAGTTGATTCGACACTAGTCTCATACGACAACCGGCTGGTACGACATAAGCCGCATAAAATTGATACGACAATGATACGACCTATACAAGTCAATGAGCTATTCTGACTTAATTCATCTCATTGCAGAAATATGGACGCAACCGCTTCCTGCTCGAAGACAATGACGATGGGCGAATTGTCAAGCCTTGTACCAGAAGGAGACGAACGGCGTTTTAAAACAGTCTTAGAGCTCGTACGAAAATACTACCCTCCAGGTTGGGAAAAATGGGAAATCCAAAATTACTCATTCGAAAACCTTTTTGGAGGCAGCATGTCACCAGAAATCGAAAAGAAAATCCGATTTGCGCTACCTACAGTGGAACTTATTCAAGCGATCTACCCTAATTCGCCAAATGCTTCGGAAAGATCATTCAGAGACTTGAAGCGCCGCCTTTTAAACTGGTCTTTTGGCCGCGCGTTACTATATTCGCCACATAATATTATGGAAAAAATCCATTATAAGTCTCACAACGCTTTCATGGACACAGTCGTAAAATTGAAACCTCTTATACTCTCGAGGCAAAGTGCTTTCGAGCGCCTCCAGGGCATCAAAAGAACAAGCACATCCACAGAACGTTCGATCTCACCACAAGCACGTGCAAAACGAGTACGATCGCCTTCACCAACTCAAACAGGTTCTCCAAAGAGGCATTGTCCTACTCCACTCGCTTTATCAGCAAAAAGCGAAGACCTACTCTCACTTCTTTTAGAACAACAAGTACGACAGAATAAGATGTTTGAGCATATCGTACAACTAAGTCAAAATCAAGAAGAAAAGATGTCTAAAATTGAAATGAAGCTAGAACATAGATCACCTGACAGTGCCCCAGAGGATCTTAACGTATCATTTGCCGACAGCACTCAGCCAGAAAACTTTCAGGATGAAGGTGACGAAGAAGAAGAGTTGAACGCCCCACCGCCTAATATCTGGACACCCATTAAACCTAATGATGCTGATGAAAATAAAGGAGCACAAATCAGCCAAGAAGAATCTCTTAGAATCCAAATAATAGATGCTCAACGAAAACTACTTGAATTACAAAAAGAAAATCCTCAGCCTCAAATAACCGAAACTAATATCGACTTCTCACCATTAGTAGTTGAATCTCAAGTAAAAATTGCTAAAGCTGATCCAGAACTTGTAAAACAAGGCTCAAGATGCCAACGTTTAGGCGAAGACACATGGAAAAACATACGCTACGCTGATGTCCAGAAACAATTTCAGGCGACTCCGGTATTCACGTCACTTAAAGTCAACAGCCATTTAGCACTCGCTACCCCTTTCTGGCACAGCGTGTCAATCCTGGAACGAATCGACAGTACTCTGGCAGCTATAAGTCATGGTCTTCTACAACAACGTAAGCACTTCGAAGAATGTTGTCAAAATCTTAATCCAGAGCTTAAAAGCCAAGTCAATAAAGAGCTCTTAGGTCCTGAATCTAAATTCAAAAAGACATCGGATGCTCTACTTCAATATACATGCGGGAAGAGATCTGAAATAATTCATCAAAGACGACAACTATACAAAGCTTCTAACAAAGCACTAAACGAAATCCTCCATGACATCCCACCGTCTGATACTCATTTATTTTCCGAAAAATCACTCAGCGAAGTGGTGAAAGATCATGGAGGACCACATAAGATGTTTCCCGCAAAATCCAGAAAACCTTCGAAAAATAAACAAACCGCATCATCAAGGAATTTCTACAACAACAGAAAGAACTTCACCAACAAAGAGCCATTTCGTGGAAACACACGTAAAGACAACAGAAAAACTACGAAACCTCAATACAACAACTCAAACAGCTCCAACAAACGATCGACCAATCAACATACCAAAAAGATCTGACTCATTTCAAGCGGGTCAACTAGCCCAATTCACCCATATATGGGAAAGTATAGGAGCACCCCATACAATTTTATCAATGATTCAAAATTACAGAATACCTTTCCTACAAAAACCACCTTTAATGACTTTAAATACAAAAACACAAGCAAAAGTGACGAACGAAAATCCAGATGTTATATCGACCCAAATATCGGAACTTTTGAAATTAAAAGCAGCTATCCCCATAAGGTACTCAAGAGGATTTGTGTCTCCAATATTTCTGAGAAAGAAACCGAATGGAGATTACAGAATTATAATAAATTTAAAGAACCTCAACAATTACGTGAGCACTCCAAGATTTCACCTCCCAAACTTATATTCAATGCCAAATCACCTGTGGGAGAAAGATTACATGCTGAAGATAGACATTTCTCAGGCATATTACCACATCCCAGTCACTCAAGCACACCAACGGTACTTAACATTCCAGCACAATCAGTCATTTTTCCATATGACATGTCTTCCATTCGGACTCGCAAGTGCCCCGTCAGCATTTGCGAAGATCACAAATTGGTTAGCACAGTACCTAAGAGAGAACCAACTAAAAGTGATCGTGTACTTAGACGATTTTCTGCTGATGCACGAAGATCCAGAGATCTTATTCCAGCAAGGACGCTTCGCGGTAGAGCTTTTGGAAAGTCTCGGATGGTGCGTGAACAATTCCAAGTCTATAACTACACCTACGCGCTGCGTCGAATACTTGGGTATAATCTGGGATACAGAGAGAAACTTGAAGTACTTGCCACCACAAAAAATAAAAGCATTTCAAACGCACATCACGAAACTTCTCAAAGTGGGCCACTGAAACTGGTGGGACGCAAAAAGCATAGCAGGGAAGCTAAATTTTGCTGCAGAAGTAGTACCTTTAGGTCGCCTACACTGCAGAAATATCCAGAGATCGTCAAAACACCTACCAAAGTCAAACCGTCGCAAAGTAGTAACTATCGACCAAGCCGCCAGGGAAGACCTCACATGGTGGACTCGAAATGTACACAAATCTTCTCCTATTCACCGGAAACCAGCATCAGCCTTCATAACGACAGATGCAGCAGACACAGGGTGGGGAGCTTTAATGAACAGCAAGAAATTGAAAGGAAGATGGAACGACAAACAAAAAGCCTGGCACTACAACCAGAAGGAACTCTGGGTACTTTACGAAGTTCTCAAAAGAGAGAAAAAGTTCCTGAGAGGGAAATCGATTATCTTCCAATCCGACAACCGAACAACCATAGCCTATATCAACAAACAGGGGGGGACGAAATCAACTATCCTATTGAAGACAGCTTCGAAGATACTAAACCTAGCTGCGCAACTGAAAATCACTATAACAGCCAGATATCTCCCAGGGAAATTAAATGGCATTGCCGACAGCTTATCAAGGCAAAATGCTCTACCAGAATGGCACTTAAGCGAAGCAATTCTTGGCCAAATCTTCCAGAAGCTTGGAACTCCACAAGTAGACCTGTTCGCTTCAAAACGTTCGGCAGTCGTATCCAATTATGTAACCGAAGATGTCTCGGACCGGAACAGCATATACACGGACGCCTTCAGTCGAACATGGAATTTCAAACTGGGGTGGGTCTTCCCACCGCCAGCACTAATACCAAGAGTTCTTCGCCATCTCAACAAGTGCACGGGGACTTACCTGCTTGTAACCCCGGAATGGACAAATGCATTCTGGATGCCGATGTTGGAAAACAGATCTACCAGCAAACCCCTCCGGCTGGAGAATCTGCGGACTCACCTTGTAGACTTACGGACCCAAAAACCTCCACGGGGGATAGACACAATAGTTTTGCAGGTATGGCACATACAGGCTGGTCCAATTTCGTTAACCCCTGGCCTACCGAACTCAAACACGTAGTGGAAAAGTCTTGGCGACAATCTAGCATCAAAACATACCGACCAGCTTGGGAAAAGTGGGTCGCATGGGCCTCAAAAGAAGATGTCTCTGTAAAAGAACCAAAAGCAACAGACTTAGCACGTTATCTCGGATTCCTACATACCAAGATGAAGCTGGCGCCGAACACCATAGCACTACATAAATCAGTAGTATGCACTTTTACGAATCCAGATGCTACCGCATCGATCGGCTCGCACCCTCTGGTCAAACACATGCTGAAAGGCATCAGTTTGGAAGGGCGAAAACGTCCTAGTAGACTTACCTGGAACGTAAACGAATTTACTGAGTGGTTAAAGTGCTACAAATTAAATGAGGATAGCATCTTTCAAGTCAGCAGACATCTAGCTATCCTGTTACTTCTAGCCACAGGTCGAAGAATCCACGATCTAACTTTATTAAATATAAGCGAAGAGTTCCTTGAAATAACAGATAAAAGTATTAAATTATGGCCTAAATTTGGCTCAAAAACAGATACCTGTACATACATACAATCAGGTTGGGAAATAACAATGAACCCAGTCAAAAACTTAGACCTCGTTACCTGGACTAGACGCCTACAGGAAATATCAGAACCAAGACGAAGAAACAAAGGTATTACAAATTTGTTTATAACAACCCGCGGTAAAGTCGCCCCAGCTTCAAGATCAGTGATAGCGGGATGGATACGCACACTGTTCAAAGAAGCCAACATAAATGCCTCTCCAGGTAGCTGCAGATCAGCCGTTGCTACCGGTAATTGGTTTCGCGGGTATACAAACATAGAAGAAATTATGAAAAAGGGTAATTGGCAAACTGCAAAAACATTCTTCAATCATTATCTCAAACCAATCAACCCTAAAGTCCCAAATACAATCAGTAATAACCTTTCAGATAATTTTGCGTTAATCGACTGACTTATTATACTTGTGATAAGTAGTCAAAGTTCCTTTAATCAAGAATAAGAATTATTTATTTTTGTTAGCATGATGATTATATTACTTTGTTTAAGAATAAATACACTTTATTCATACATTCCCTTTTTATTATATTATAAGTAAACTTTAACAGTTAATCACAGTACGCTCATTCAGCGCCGGCAGATAAGAAACACGTCTCAAGGTGGATCAAGCCTCTAGGCTCGAACACCTAAATAGCAGCGTTTTCCCCCCGAAGGGCAGAAAACGCTTATTTAGGTTTCAGCCGTTCGGCTTGATCCACCATAATTTTCAGCGCCTTGCCGGCTTGCAAATTGTACTGACCAATACACCGCCCGCGCTGAATGAGTCCCCTCCATTAGAGTGAAGTTGATACACTTCACACTTGCGACAGAGGGCGCTACTATCAAAAAGAGCTAACTTCACGCTGTAATAACGTCAGAATGTACATGCGTAGTCTCAAGGTGGATCAAGCCGAACGGCTGAAACCTAAATAAGCGTTTTCTGCCCTTCGGGGGGAAAACGCTGCTATTCAGGTAATTACACCCACTTTGTGAGTACACTTAAAACTAGGGGTTAGTTTAATTTACAGACTACAAATTATTATACATTACCTAAATTATCATTTATTGTTAAACATTTTGGGCCTGGAACCCATATGCACTTTATTCCAGTGCCTCATCATAGGGCAATCCTGCCTTTCATATATGGAAGCTAGGAGGCTGTTAGTGCTGTCTCGCACGCGACGTATCAGGGGGGCTATTCTTTTGCGCAATATTGTTGCAAAGCTGTCCACACGTGCCTCGGCAAACATGCGTGATGCGCTGCAAAAGCGTAGCAGCCCCAACAACATCCATTGAACGCAGCGCATGAAGAGTTCGGCGGGTACACTTTGCCCACAGACTGTAGGTGTAGAATGTCTGACAGTAAGCTTTGAATAATGTTATATTAACTTCATTCGTACATCTAGCAAACCTGCAGGCAAGTATATAACACCTCACTGCCAATGCTCTACGTTCTCGTTCAACATCATAATCGTCAGAGAGCTCCTCGGTGACCCAGTATCCCAGATATCTGAATTTGGTGACTACTCAGTGTAACACTCCCAAGTGTAACATGAGGGACAGACTTAGGTTTTTTATTTCCACCCTTAAAAACGAGTAGTTCGCTCTTTTTAGAATTATATCTGACACCATGAGCCGCCGCGTGCCTTTCACAGATGCCCACCAGCGTATTTAGGGCCTTGATCGATGGGCTCAGCAAAACCATGTCGTCGGCATAGCTTATATTATTAACAAAATGACCGCCGATTGAGCAGCCGACTCCGGCATCACTGAGCTCAACGATCAGACCACCATAATCGTCTGATCATCATCGATCAGATATGAAGCGTCAAAATATAATAACTTTAAAACAAACTCCATATTTATTTGCTTCCATAATTTAATGTCTATCTTAGACCTTAGAGGTGACAACGCATCTGCATTTTGATAGTCGCAGTGTACGATGATGGAACTAATCCGATAAATTCCACAAGAGATGTTAAATAATCAAGCCGATAGGAAAGAACTTGATCGTCGATGATTCGGGCCTCTCTCTGTTGAATACAGTCAAGTGGAAGGAGCTGATACTGGGGTGCCCCGGACCTGAGATGAGAACAGTATTTCGTAAGTCGCTGAACCTACGCTTTATAAAGCTGCAAGCGGTGGGCCGGCATAAAATATCATCTCGACCTACTGAGCACACCAAGCTTTTTTGATGCCAGCTTAGCCTTCCCTCTCAAGCGACTGCGGAACTGTACATCTCTTAAAATGTCGACGCCAAGGATTTCGATACTGGCTATGGTAACGAGGGGAGTGCCCTGAAATCTAGCCGATACGACAAAGAGTATTTTTGTTTTTGCGGTAACTTAAAATTCATCAGAACGGTATGGGCAGTGCATAGAATAAGAACAAGCAAAATTTAATTTTATATATTACAATATTAGATTTACTAATCTTATCTACTAAATTAGAAGCTAGTGTTAGGCAATGGATTTTGATACGCTGTAGTAAAAGATGAATCAGTAACGTTGCCTGGTTGAAGATAAAATAGAAAAAATATGCCTAATTAGATCAACCTGGATTTACCAATAGTATTATAGTTTCCTTTTTTCCATCCATCCCTCCATTACAGCCTAAAAAAGTCCACTGCTGAACATAAGCCTTCCACACAGATTGTCTTATTTTTTATTTATAGGTACTTATATGTTTTATATAGAATAAGGGTGACAAGCAAGCACACTGTCCACCTGATGGTTAGTAGATGCTGTGGCCCAAAGACATCTACATATATCCTCAGTTAAAAATCAAAATGTAGATTAGTCGTCACGCCTGAGTACTAAGATGGAATACCTCACTTCCAGTAAAAGAGTCTCCGGTTCTCTACACTCACCATACGAAGCAAAAGCATAGAGCTACTATTTTACACTGGTAGTTTGTGAAAGCGTGGACCTTCCCGGATCAAGCCGACCCATTTGTGCTACAAGTAATATAGCTGCAGCATGGCTCTACCACATAAGAATTTGTGAGAATGATTTAAAAGCTTTCCGGAATCAAAAACAAAATTCGATAAGTTGACATATAATTTGTTTAGTACGTTTCTTTTGATGTAACGTGCGACTGCCGCAAGAAATCTGCCAATGTATTTGAATTGCCGAAGCGTAATTTTTATCACGAAACGTGCTTTGTGTAAATTTTGTGTTCCTTTCAATATTTTATTGTGATGTATTTTTTACAGAATAGTACCACCTACTATACTAATGTTAAACACTCGCTACCCGTGGTGCCATAAATTATCGGTGCACTAGGGAAAGACACGTGCGGTACGTCACATATCGATAACTGCTTGTTTCATAGTATACACATCGACACGACAGTGAGGCATCACTATGCCTGCCGTAAGTGCGACAAAGAGCTCAATAGGTTGTTTCCCCATTTTCGCACCGCGGGCAGCCAGTGTTAAGCATTAGTATACCACGCCACACTGTGGTAGAATTCACGATACCTACTATAAATTTACTATTACGATGCATCGTGAGATTACGACACAGCTTCTCGTCAGGTATACCTTAAAACCTGAAAACAACATTGTACAAACAATGTGTGTTGCCAGTGATGACTTATGGATCTGAGACGTGGTCCTTTACTCCTCGCCCTATGGGGAAGCTCAAGGTCGCTCAGCGAGCTAAGCTGCGCTATAGCCATACTCGGAGTTTCTCTGCGTGATAGACTTACAAATGAAGATAACTTCAGTAGAACCAAAGTTATCGACATCGCCCAAAGGATTAGTAAGCAGAAGTGGCAATGAGCCGACCATATAGCGCGAAGAACCGACGAGCGATGGAGAAGAAAGGTTCTCAAGTGGCAGCCTCCGTCCGATAGGCGACGTGTAGGATGCCTCGCTCCTAGATAGAGTGACGACCTGGTAAGACATGCAGGAAGTCGACGGATGCGTGTGGCTCAGGGCCGCGCTTTATGGCATTCCTTGGGAGAGGTCTATGTTCAGCAGTGGAATTGTGAAGGACTGTGATGAAAGATTGATTGAATGAACAACAAATTTTACTAATATCTAACTCACTGTATTCGCAAAAAGATAAATAGATGAATTTGAAAATTTTCTACTACTAGCTACTCTTTTATCATATGAGTTAATTAGATCTACTATTTTATGGACTACTGTATTAGACAATAATATTGCTTTTTTATGTAAAGAATAAGGGTGGCCAGCGAGCAGTCAGTATACTTGTAGTTAATGCTATGGCCCATATACATCTACACCTATCCTCGATAGATGGATCTGTCTCCTAGAAAATGCAGATGTGTTGTCACCCGTGAGGACTAAGATATAAAATAGATAACAAAAAGGTTTCCGGTTCTATACACGCAGCATACGAAACAGAGCAACATTAAGCTGTTATTTCACGAAACTTTATATAGTACGCATATATTGACCCTTATCAAGGTATTCTAAAATGTGAGAGCGCAAAATTTACTGCGTGCTTAGCGTCCCACACAAGAGCTTTATTCACCTCACTTGTCATCCATTCCGAAAGTTTTGGACCCTTTTAAATTCGATTATTCGGAGATGTTCTGAAGGCTTTTTAACGAATCATGAAATATTTCAATTTAGCGCAAATTTAAAATTAGAACATTCGTATTTTTACTTGCGAATAATCATTTTTTTTACTTTGTTTTAATTGGCGATTGTCTCATACCAAAAAAAAAACACTAAAATTTCTGCATGGCCAGTCGTATTTTAATGGCCCTTATACTCTTCAAAGAATTATTATATATTTTTCACGTGGTAGAGCCATGCTGCAGCTATATTAGTAGTATAGTTGTAGCACGAATGGGTCGGCTCGACCGGGGAAGGACCACGCTCTCACAGAATACCAGCGTAAAATAGCAGCTTAACGCTGCTGTGTTTCGTATGGTGAGTGTAGAGAACCGGAGACCCTTTTTACTGGAAATGAAGCATTTCATCTTTGTCCTTACGGGTGACAACGCATCTGCATTTTGATTCGTAATAGAGGATAGATTTAGATGTCTGTGGGCCGCAGCAACCACTTAACATCAGGTGGACTGTGTGCTCGTTTGTCACCCTTATGCTATAAAAAAAAAGAATACAGCTTGACAGAAATAGGTAAGCTGGTGGTACCTATCTAGCCGGGCTCTTGGGCACAAAAGGATTCCTATCTCTCAATAAAAGGATGCTAGAAATGCTTCACGAAGGAAAATTATTTTGTTTATCCCGTCATTATAAAGAAACAGGTGGTAGAATTATTTTATCTGGAAGCCCGTCTGGGTAGTTGCCACCATCTTATATACTTTTACTGCCAAGCAATGCTTGCACTGTTGTGTTTCAATGTAAAGGGTATAAAAAACCAGCATAATGGCTGAGAAATATTCCATCTTAGTCTTCAGTGGTTCAGCACATAT